TCTGGTAGTGATGATAACTCTATTCGTCTTTGGAATGTAAAAACATCAAAGGAAATACTCCAATCAGATAGCAGCTATAAAGATTTGCTTTCCTAGTTCAACATACCTCTTCAGAATAGCTCCTTATTGCCAAATGGTATTTATTATTCATTATTATTTAGTTAATCCTGATCATACAATACTTAGAATATGCTAGAATCCTTTATTCCAAGCATCAGGAACTCTTATCTTATAAGGACAATTCATGAATTATTAAGGGATAGATTTAAAACCATTATTAAAAACAAAAGGAAGTTGCTTTTTAGAAGACTTAAAGCAAAAGTGAATTTGAATATTCATTAAAAACATTACAATTATAATTTTAATCATTTCATTATAACTTTTTTGAATCATATGTGTTTTTTGTTACTATTTAAATATTTGCTTAATATTGAGATGTTAGAAACAACGGTTATAAATAAATATTTATAGAAGTACAATACACTATTAAATTTTTAATAAACAGAGTAAACAGGTTTAGTCCTAATAATGATTACTAAAAGTTTAGTATAATAATGATACATTTAAGAACAAAGATAAGAAGAAAGATAAGAAGAAAGATACATTTCAAAAAATAAAAAAATATCCATAATCATAGAATAATCTTAAATGAAACAAAGTTAAAACATGGGGATTGAATGATTTTTAAAGTCACTCTACTCTAATCTTGGTAATATTTTCTAAACCTGTTATTTATTATTTTCAATTAATATTAAAAGTATTAGAGACAATAAAGGACTGAAAGATATATTAATCATCAATAAATATTTTCACCCCTAGAGATCTTAATTATATCCATCCCTAACAATAATCTTAAATAAGCTCTATATGAATTACATCCAAAGTAGCTACTTTCAATAATAATTTTGCACAGAAGGAACAGTTATTAATCACCCAGATAAGAACAATGTAATCTTACCTCAACTGATTTTTTTTTTACAAATTAATTAATATCTACACAACGATAATATTTGTCAACTAGTTTAATTTTATTAATTGATTCTGAAGAAATTACCCACGATTGGATATTCATAAACATTAACTTTGAGTTTAACCCTATTAGACAATAAATTTTTACAATTAATTAAATTAATTAATACATAAATATTTGTGTATTTTCTCTTAAAAAGTTGTAAGTTACTTCTATTCTTCCTTTTTACCACTTATAAATTATAAAGCATATGTTTTACTATCATTATTGTAATCTAAAGGTAAGTTTAATTTAGAGAATGTGATCTTTATTAAAGCCTTTTAAAATATACTATGTGAATTCAATTTTATGTTACATGTTAATATTTCCTCATCTAAATAGTTAGAATATAATTTGTAAATAGAAAATCAGTTTTGTCTGACTGAAATATATTTCAACTAAGTCATAGATTTTTAATCTTAGAAATGATATTTCTTTGTAAAAAGTTAATATCTTAAAGTTTCACTATACATACAAAATATAGATCTTATGGTTTATCACTTTGTGGATTAAAATAATCATATATAAAATAAGTTTTGATTTTCAGATGTGTAATTTTGTTCATGAATAACTTAGAAAATCTAAA